AGAGGTTGATAGGAGGAGGAGAAAAGGTAAGAAATGTGGGGGATACCCAAGAGATGGAGAACAAGGGGGGAGGGTAGTGTGTGAGAGAGGGAGGGAAGGAGATAAGATAGAGTGAGAGAGGGAAGGAGGGTGTTGTAATGAGGGAGTGTGCATAGAGAGAGGAAGGAGGGAGATAGAGATAGATAGAAAGGAGAGCACAAAGAAATGCGAGAGAAAAAGAAAATGGTAATGGTAATTGTAATGATGAAGATAATAATGATGACACTAACAATAATAATAATGGTGATAGTGATGTTACCTATATCACTGTTATTCTTCTTATTGTTATAATCATTATTATCATTATCATCAATATTATAGTTGCTTTAACGTCATCTAAAGCCGTCACTGACGGATCCCTCTTCATTTTCAAAGCATTTTTTTACATGTTTCGGTAACTTATTCAAGATCAAACGGCTAGTTTCAAGCCGTGACATAATGCATTTTCGCCATACCCATGATTCCACGAGACATATTCCACAATGGTCTCTAGATGTGACAGTTCAAGAAATTATCAAATTTCATAGTAAAAGTTGAATCTTTTGTTGTGCTTGAAAGGTCTGAGCTTCAAGGTGCTCGAGTATGACGTCACGATCAAAGATTTCCCGCCAAAATTCCTGGACATCAAAACTTATTATTATTTAAGTATTAGTATTATTTAAGTTAAAACGAATCTGTAGGATTAAATATTATATATCGTATATATATATTATATAAATCAATCCTTTTGGAGACAAAAAATAGGAAATAAGTAACAAACTTGCTCAAGAATTGCTTTCGTTTTTTATTGATATGCACCAAATTCCTTAATAAAAATCCCTCTACCATTGAGGATTGAATAAAAAGTATAAGTAAGGTTTTCAGATAGTCGTACTGGGTAAAGTAAACTAGTCAGCTGATGCCTTCATTTGGTGTAAACAAAAAAAAAAAAAAAAAAAATCAAAATGTTTCCCTGTCCTTTTATATCTTAGCCTCACATCTAAAGCAAAATGTACAGGTGAGACAAATAATTCAGCGCACTCTGTGGATCTTCTGGTGTGTTTTTAGATTACCACTTGCATTAAACCCTTTTCCACATTCGGAACACTAGAACGGCTTTTCTCCTGAGTGAATCCTCTGGTGTTCTTCAGAGAACCACTTCACTAAATTTTTTCCACACTCGGAACACTCGAACGGCTTTTCTCCTGAGTGAATCCTCTGGTGTTCTTCAGAGACCACTTTGAAATTTTTCCACACTCAACACTCGAACGGCTTTTCTCCTGAGTGAATCCTCTGGTGTTTCTTCAGATGACCACTTTGACTAAACCTTTTCCACACTCGAACACTCGAACGGCTTTTCTCCTGAGTGAATCCTCTGTGTTTTCTTCAGATGAACACTTTGATTAAACCTTTTTCCACACTCGGAACACTCGAACGGCTTTTCTCCTGAGTGAATCCTCTGGTGTTTCTTCAGAGAACCACTTTCACTAAATCTTTTTCCACACTCGGAACACTCGAACGGCTTTTCTCCTGAGTGAATCCTCTGGTGTTTCTTCAGAGAACCACTTTCACTAAATCTTTTTCCACACTCAGAACACTCGAACGGCTTTTCTCCTGAGTGAATCCTCTGTGTGCCTTCAGATGACCACTGATTAAACCTTTTGCCACACTCGGAACACTGAACGGCTTTTCTCCTGAGTGAAACCTCTGTGTGTCTTCAGATGACCACTTTGACTAAACCTTTTTCCACACTCGGAACACTTGAACGGCTTTTCACCTGAGTGAATCCTCTGGTGTGTCTTCAGATGACCATTGTGATTAAACCTTTTCCCAGACTCGGAACGCTCGAACGGCCTTTCTCCTGATTCTATTTTTTGGGTTTCCTTCAACTTATCACTGTCAGCAAATCTTTTCCTACTCTCTGAACACTCCAACAGTTCTTTTCCACTGTGTATTAACACATGTTTATTTAGGATATCAGCAGATTCACACTTGTAATCACACTGCGAACACTCAGTATTATATTCATCACATGCTGGCGAACACAGCGTCTCATGAGACGCCTTTTCCGGGACTGCGGCGCCTCTTCTCGCAAAGATTGTTTGGTTGAGCCACTACTGCTGCTGGTTCCTCGCGTGGAGCATGTTGGCGGCGTGTAAGTGCGAATATGCTTTCTGAACACTTTTAGGGGACGCATTAGATCTTTCGAGGTGTAGACTAAGCCAGACCATTCGCACTGTCGATCTGAAAAAGAATCCAGACATGGGGAAAGTGCATACATTATCAAAGAAAATAGATGAACTGACAGCAGTTAAACCATCATTATATGTATATGTACATATTCATATACATATTAAATTCACAAATATATATATACATAAATGTATATATATAATAATATATAACACAAATACACACACACACACACGAGTGCATGCAAATGTCTATGTATATACACACACAGTGTGTGTGTGTGTATGTGTGTGTACATATTTGAATACATTTGATGTAATAGATGTGCAGACATACATATGTACATACATCTAATGCACTTATGCACATGCACATGCTCACACACACACACACACGTTGGAAGTATAGCAAGCTTAGTTACGGATTATTTATTCCTTACAATATTAATCTATATCATCTCAAATTATGCAACAATTTCTGAATACACTTTCCCTTCAGAATGGAAATAAGGTTTTGAAACGTATTTGCGCACCTATTGCGTCTTTCTTCGCTGATTTCCACTTGGATGGCTCTCTCGATAGACCAAGATCCTTCCCGAAATCGTCTCCGTACCAGCACATCAGCTCGCTCCCCCTGTTCACAATTAGTTTGGCCTTGTTTGTCTGTATCTTTAAATATCAATAAGCACGTTATGACAGGTGTATGGTCAGGAAAAGTTGACTTCACTACTGAATTATACTGACCTGCTAATTGCAGAGTCCGTCTTGTAGTAGATCTGCCCCTTGTACTGAAATGCAGATAGGTTAGTCTCAGCGTCAGTCCTTGAACAGTTGACGTAACGCATCCAGTTACTAACTGCACTGTCTACAGCATCAATGCATGTATTCCTTGTTCCAGCACCTCGAATCTGGAAAGTACAGGAAGGTGAAGAAATTTTCAACTATTTGCGTAAGTGGATTTCCTCTTAAAATATTTGGTGGTTTGTAGAAAACCGCTGAAAAATCATTCTGCAATACATTTATCTGATATGTTTTACGCCACAGAATACACTAACCTTCCACCCATAGCCAGATTCTTTGCCGGCTTCCGGATGGCCAGATAGGACACGGCCCTCATACGGACCAAACACAAGATGGGCTGGGAGATGAGCATTGGTCCACACGCCTTTTCCTGCCCCCTTCACTTTCGAGTCGTACACAGTGAGGGGCCAAGGGGCTGTGAGGCGAGCACGATCTTTCTCGCTGCCGTCTCGAACAACCTGCCCAAACATACCATTGGGATGATAACGCTATTTGAAAATGTGTGCGTGTGCATGTGTCTATGATCATCATCAGTTATGCTTGTGACTAGTTAAATTTTCACACCAGTTAATTTTCATTCTTACGGGGTTATCCAGAATAAGGAACAATGGTGGTACGGACACTCTCCCTCTTTCTCTTCTTCACAGTCTGCGCAATCTGCAAACAAATAGAATTCATGGTATCTGAATCTATCTACATGTACAATCCTAAGTGCACAACTATCATATACAATTTTATAAAGTGATGAAATGAAAATAATTCAAGATTATGAAATACACGCACGACACCTATGAAGATGTAACAAACGCTTTTTCTTACAAATAAAAATCATCTTTAGTAACGTTCTCTTCATAAAACAGCTTCCTTCTGCTACTACGTCTTGGGTACCGCGTCTTGGACTCTCCTGAAAAACAGCTGTTTCCCCGGCCCTCTTCATCTGATCCTACACCAAGTGTTTTAGTCTCAGCTGGAAGCTCTTTCACTGTTTCCATCTCTGTATCTGTTGCCAAGTGTGACATGGGACCGGGAAAGATCCCCTTGTCCTCTGGCTTAACATTTTCTGCAGCGGAAGCTCCACTTGACCTGTCGACTGTTGTTGGCATTATCTGGAAGATTAAACAATTTTCAAAGAACATTTTTTCATTTGTAATAAAGCATAGATATTTAGGATGACTCAGCTTGGCGATGCTGCAAATAGTCAATAAAAATTCATATCACTCCTAAATAGTTCTACACGAGAAGTTACAAAATCGAGTTACGATGGACTTTCTCAGAAAAAGTGACTTGGAGAAGAGTGCCTTTGGCCCATGCATACGCAAACGTACGGTTGTAGCCAACCCCCGAAACCTGCAGCGGCATACTTCCCCAGGTTAGGTCAAGGTCCATCAGCTGCGTCCTCAGCACCTCACGTCAGCTGCCTCTCGAACACTAATGATTGGATGAGAACGGACAGCTCCCGGCTCGCTCATTGGACAGCAGGTTCCCCTCGCTCCGGTAGCTGACACAGCTTAGCACTACTTCAGCCCCGGCTGAGATCAGCACTCACTGATCCTCTAGCAGAGCAAGACCACAACAGCAAGCAAACAGGCCTACCTAGGCCTTAGCCGTCGGGGGAGCGCCCCGGCTCTCCCCGTCGATCTCCAGCACCCAGACATACCTGTAGGCACTCACACCCACACCAAACACTCCTTAGAGAGATAATCAACACCAGACAAATGGCGGATGCAAATCCATTGCCATACGGTATCCAACATTCGCTTTACTTTATTGCTCGTGGCACACTTGCCAAATAGACAATATCTGCCGTAGTCTGCACAACCCATGCTTAAAAACTATGTTCCAGGACTCCTGCATTTCTATGCCCAGACAAAAACAGAAGCGGACACGGAATCTGGATAAAAAAGGGAGGACATCAAGCAAACACATAGACAAAGGCACGAAGACAAACCTTGGCAGTGCCCTTTGCACCTGCACCAACTTGGCTGGAGTCCACAACGGTATAACATCTACTTGGTCTACACTGAGTGGCGCATCATCGTAGTTCTCACTCCTTCTGGCCCAAGCTGGAGCACTCCACTCTGCCTTCCTCTTATGACCGCCTCTTCTTCCACTGCCTACGCTTCCATTTTGCTTGCATACCTGCAACAATTAACCTCCATTATATTAGCTTCCAGCAAAAGCACTGTACATGCATCCTCATTCACTATGCCACTGGAGTCGTCGCCCTACCTGCTAGATCTCTCCTTCTCGGGCGTCCACTCGTCGTCTCCATCGTAGTCGAGGACTCGAGCTGGCCTGGCTGTGGGCGCGACGAACCCGTTGTGTCGCTTCCTCTGTCGTTGCAAAACGAACTCCGGGAGCTTGGGGTCCAGTCCTGAAAGTGCGCTGCAGTTGTTTAAGAGATTTTGGGGAAATGTGTATGAGCCGGTGATGAAGGAAATCCCAGGATCCAGTGAAGCATTTTGGTAATACCGTGATTGTAATGTGCGTGTTTAGGAGTCTGCATTTTCCATAAGGGCAAGCGCGCGTTTCAGATGTATATTTGGATGTCTGCGCATAAGTTTTTGTGTGGGGAAGGGGGTATGTGTGCATATGAATGGAAAACAATAATTATATAAATACCACATATATTCACAGCTACGCTTTTCCAGGCAATGTATTTGCTAACCCTCCGCTTCCGTAGGTAACCAACGAGTCTTACATGGACGCTAAAAGCCTTCGAGATTTTGTTTCCTTATCCTTCTCTTAGCTGTACTCTCTACAATTTCCTTTTTTCACAAACTCTTCTGCCTCTCGGCACTCCAACAAAACCCAACACACTACCTCTTATTTTCTACAAAGATGGAGCTCGTAGACCTCCCTGGCGATGCGCCATCTGTCAATGATCGAACAGCCACTCGGCTCCATCTTGCCAGAATGCCCGAGTCGGAGAATGGGAGTCGTGAGTCTGGCCTGGCGGTGGCCTTCCGCTGCCGCCCCGCAGGTCCCGTGGAGGTAACCAAAGACTATCTACGAAAGACAGGAAACATGCTATCTAACGCATTCTAAAAAATGTGAGCTCCCCGGTCGTCTACCAGCGCCATCCGTTGACTCGACGCCCAACTAAACATCCGACGTCGTTCAGTGGGGTGTGCTCACTCGGGTTCATGTTCTTGGTCAGTTCAGACTTATTCAGAAGGGGTTGCGAATAGCTTATTTACTAAAATATATATATATATATATATATATATATATATATTCATATCGTATCATGACTTTGTAGTAGCATTTATTTTCTTCATATAATTCTTTCGCCCCTCCCAGCCCGAAGCTACCCATTCGGCAATTTAGGGCCGGTTAACAAATGTAAATTGGTAGTTCATACATGCACGACACACATACGGCGTATACAACATGCCATATACAGGACACATTAAACCACGTGGCACAATGAACTTATAGGCCTACAGTCACATAACATTAGTGACATATAATGTATATGATATTGCAAAACATGCATCAATACATAGAAATTGAGTATGATAAATTAAGAAAATGATTACAATATCTTTATTAGAATAATAGCAAAACCTTTACAAATAAATGGCCGAAATACACATTATTATTTCAATTCTTCGCAATGCGACCGCATGATTTTGAGATTAATTTCCTCATTAACAGGTTTTTATGTTTGATTAGGGGACTGTCCCCTAACCCCCTTTCCTAGGAGCTGCCTGGAATGCATCTGCTACGCCTTTTATACTCTGGCTAGGAGCTCGAAAGAGGCCACCGATCGTTATCCTGTTAAAATTTGAACTTATTTTACTTTTTCTATATTTCTGTTTGTTCCTACTATGCAGATCTACAAAGTAATGAGCATTGTTCAATCGATATATATATTGATTTGGGGATAACTATAATCTATCTCAAAATCAACCTGACACAATTTTTTCACTCTATTGATGTCAAATCTATCGTCAGCTTAAGACAAATTGTAGATTAAGGCTTGCACTATAATATTAAGTAGAATTATGGCCTCTACTTTTTTAGACGGGCGTCATGACTTGACACCTTTACCAATCAAAATAATTTCTTGTGATCCAATTTATATCTTGCTTATGTCAATCTAAACATCACATATCTTAGCTTATATCTAAAAAAAAAAAAAAAAAAAAAAAAAAAAATATTACAAACCTTTCTTTTTCCTTGGCCAAAAATCTGAAATATAAGTTGTTTATTCTCTTCTTTTTGCTTTTTACTAGCAGAACAAGGATAAGACTTTCCTGGCATTGTCGGAACTGCCATTTCAATTTTCGCGCTTCTATGTAAACAAACAGACGGTATGAGATGACGTCACGAGATGCTCACTAACGCCATCTATTGCGCCGACGCCGCATTACTCACAGGATTTTGCTTGACTTTCCGGTCTTTCGTAGATAGTCTTTGTTGGTAACAAAAGGGGCGTCGGGGTTGAGTCCATGCAATTGACAAGCATTTTGCACACGGCTTGTTTATCCCCTGTTGCTATTAGCGTATTAATGAATATCACATGAGCGCAAACAGTTTCTGCTAATTTGGGAGCATTAAGCTACGGCCAGGGAAATTAAGGCAAAAATATCGTGTGAGTGTGCCCTTTGGGGGGGGGGGGTGGCAAGCCAGACCTAGAGGGGTTCAAACAGAGTTTTAGGGAGTAATTTCCTTTTCAGTGGATACCCATATTTTCTTTTAAGAATTGGCACATCTCTACGGCCTCACTTAAGAAAATAATCCGTTTCCGGTAAATATCCGATGGAAGTGAAATGCACATTCGAAGCGACACAACTCACCGAAGTCTTTCATCGCTTTGTAGTTTCTCAGGATATTCTCGAAGCGATTCTTCTCGATCTCTGGGAAGGAGAGTCATTCTTCCGTCGAAAACAGTTGGTTTACGTCCTCAGCCATCGCACTTATGCGGCCGAGAAGTCTAAATGTTCCCTGAACCCAATGTCGAAAGGATCAACGGATGCCGAGGCTCGGACTGAGCCGATTCACTTGGAGCCTCGTGCTGCGTGGGCCGTGACGTCATCATGACGTTTTGTTTTCGTCATACTCATGAATTATAGCATTGATAATTACAGAATATCATCTTTTGATATAGGTAAATTAAGCGAGTAGGCAAAGAAGGCCCCTCAATCATAAGATACGCCTTGATTTTTGTTGTTGTTGAAGATTAAGCCTCTGAGTTGCATGGGCGTGACGTCACGACCAATCCGTTCGCGAGAATCCACCTAAAGATTTCCCGCCAAAAGTCATTGCGTTCGGGATCGCTTTCAAGGAAGTCATTACTTCAACTGGTAGCATTATTTGCTGTTCTCATCAGAAAAAAACAGAAATTACAAATTACATCTGTAAGAGGACAAAGAGAGCTCAATGCTATCAAAAATATATCAAGGCGTGAGGCACGGGCAGCCTAGCTGAAGACTTCGTAGCACATTAGTCTTCCATTTATATTTTCCAGACTTTCTTTAGTCATTCTTGAATTTCAGATTTATGTTTAAGACAATCTATTTATCAGAAACGCGATTACTGTGTAAATATTTCACATAATTCAACCTATCAAAGTAAAAGTAAAGACAGATTAATGGTTAACCTCACTATTTTCATTTATATATTTATTTTTTTTTAATTCTTTCTTTCTTATTTATTCTTTACTGTTGTAAATGATGCAATCTCACTTTTTAATGGAAGTCTTAGTAGGCAGTGTCACAGAAATAGATTTGTGAGGCAGTAATTAAATGCATCGTTTGATTCGTGTAATATTATCTTTGTAGAATATTGCGAGTTTGAATTTTGTTGTAAGTTTCCAGTGATTAAATTTTCTTTGATTATACGATTATTCGTATGATTTATTATAGAAAACGTTCTAATTTTGTTTCATTTTTTTGCTGCTGGCATTTTTTATTGAAATATCTTAGTATGTGGACTATGTTATGTGAAACGTATGTGTGTATAGGCTGATGTAGAAGTGAATGAATTTATATTTGTCATTATGAGTCAGATATCCTGTTTATCCAGTGAAATAAGTTGAAATATGTGATATGGCCAAGACGTTACCGCGTTTTCCCGCCAAATTTACCCAGGCAACAAGTAGCCCGCCCCTTGCAGCATCTGTAATTAAGAAAGAATATGGTTATACCGGAAGGTTGAGTTTTGAGTCGATCACCGATAGCAAGAGATATATTGACAGTAAGAATGGGATTTAAATATGCATTGACTAATTATTGATAATAGCCCATTTGTACAAATGTTTCCCATCCTTGAAGCTGATTGGTTCACGCACGAGCAGCGCTTAGTTCTGATTGGTCTTCCTATAATCTGTATTATGATTGGCTGGGAGAGCCTGGGCAAGGCGCCACCACCAGCTCGAACAGGTTTTTTTGTTGACTGACACGCTCATGGAAATTGCGTTTGTGCTTTGACATTCTTGTATAACGCCAGTATTTCTGGGGAAGAGCTGGCAGTTAAAGTGCTAAAGGATTGTTGCAGTCACAGTGGTAACCCAAGGACTTCGGTGTAGTCTGGGAAAGAGCGCTGGCGTTGGGCTTGCTGCCTTGCAGAGTGATTTTCTACCCTCACGTGATCATCGCATTGGTTGGTGTTTTATTAGTATACTGTATTTGCCTTTATAAGAATAGTGATGTGCCATTATTTCCATGTAGGTGTAATCTATGTCAAGTGCTGATACCTGATATGTTTTACATAAGCGGAATTGTCTCGCATAGATGCAAGGGTGCAGGCTGTCTAGCTGTCCTGAGATGTACCTGTCGTGACGTGCCTGTGGTGATGTGAAGTGTCAGTGTTACCTGCTTTGGGATACGATGTACGTATTTTATGTTTGTGTATTGAATTTGCTACTTATGTTAGCCATTTTGAAATTATTTGTATATTAGGTGAGCTGCATTTCAGTACATAGCAATGGTATCTATTTGTTTGCAGCTCGAATGTCTCCTCCAAGAAAGGTTTAAACCGTGTGCAAGAATCCAAGAGACTATTCTTGAAGCCCTTATTGCTGCAGGCAGTGCAGACACATTGTACTGGTGGCCCCACAGTGTGACGTATTCTGTAGTTGGAGATACTGGGGGCTACAATGTTCGAGACGGAAAGTGCTGATAAATGAAGACGCATTTCTTGTCTTGCTGCCGCATATATATTGAACCAATATCTTGTATCAGTTATCTGTTTTAGATCATGTTTTTCATTGTTTTCCTCGTGTTGTAAAATTTCAAATTATGGCAATGACTATATCAATATATTTTTGTCTAGATCTATTTATCTATCTATCTATATCTACATAACTTTCGATCTATCTATATGTATATTTATGTATATTTTTTCGAGGGTGTGCATTGCTCCAAATTTTAACAAACACTTTAAAGTATGTAATTAAATCGACCGGACAACCAATTATATTTGTGCTTCCCTTCAGGTGATCCCTGTTGCAGGCTGCGCCGTGAGACTTCCAACTAAACGTTTTGTCCCCGTGACAATGCACCTTTGATGTCATTTCCAAGATTAAGGAAAATGTAGCATTCTTTAATACCACACATCAATTTAATCACATAAATACAAGATATATTGTCGGCCAACATACTGCTCTGTGTTACACTATACCATTATCTACTGGAAGGTACTGGAGGAGGTGGTTGGAATTTCATGATTATGGAGAGATAAAGTGCAGGTATGCAAGCAAAGGGAAGCGTGTGCGGTGGAAGAAGAGGCGGTCACAAGAGGAAGGCAGAGTGGAGTGTTCCAGCTTGGGCCAGGAGTGTGAAACTACGACCAAGTAGATGCTATACCGTTCTGGACTCCAGCCAAGTTGGTGGCAGCTGCAAAGGGCATATTCAGACATGCATATACACAGAAATCAATGCATATTCGTCTATCTAATAGATATACATTTATGTGTCTATCTGAACGGTTGATATGCATGTCTTTATATGTGCATATCCGTATATAAGACCATTCACAGGGTCGGACCACGCACTATGTTAAACCGGCTGCAAGTAGATGTCGCTGTCGACTCCTGCCAAGTCGGTGGCAGCTGCAAGGGGCGCTGTCAAATCATTAAATCGGTATGATTCAGCAGTGAAATCAACTTTCCCCGATGATACTCCTGCCATAATTTGGGAATTAATATATGTAAATATCAATGCGACTGCGACGGTGGGAAAGAGTTTGGCGCAGTGGAAATCTACGAAGAAAAAAATCAGGTGTGTGTGTAGACATTCAGTGCGTATATACTTTGTATATGCTTGCACAAGCACATATGAATATAGAAGTATGTTTGTGGGTGTAAATGTCCTACAATCGCTCCTTTTCTATGGGTTAAATTGTCAGCGGGAGGCTCCTCGAGCTTATGGGAGAACGTTTATACAAAACATACATAAGAAAATATAAATCCTATGAAATAATATAAAAAAAAATATGTAAATCCTTCTATTTTCAGTATTGTTTAATCTTTTTAGATAACCTCAAAGTTTCTGATCACCATTACCAAATAGTTTAATAAGACAAAAAAGGAAAAAGAGCTGTCCGTTAACTTCCTGTTCCCGGCAGCTGGGACACCTTGAGCTATCAGGACCTTTGCATGGCCCGGATGTTCCTCCCTGTGCGCTCGGAGCTCTATGATAAGGATGACTGTGGGATAAAATAGGAAATCAGGAGAGCTAATTAATTAAGTTTTTTTTTTTTTTTTTTTTTTTTTTTGTCAAACTAGCAGTTGGAAAAACTCAAATCATTATCTGAAATGCTGTCGTTATTATTACATTATTTGGTAATGGGAATCCAGAACTTGGAGGTTATCTAATACGAATAAATACCGAAAGTAAAAGGATTTATATATTTTTTACATATTTATATCATTTAATAGTAAGAGAGAGAAAGAGAAAGGGTAAGGAAAAAGGGAGAGAGTGGGGGGGGGTTAGTGAGTGAGTGAGAGAGAGAAAGGGTAGGGGAAAGGGAGAGTGAGTGAGAGCGAGAGAGAGGATGGAGGAAGAGGGGGGAGGAAGGGAGAGAGAAAAAAAAAATGTGCATGCGTATATTATTCAACTGTGTCTGTGCATGTATAGAGCGAATGATATGCCGTGAGATAGAAATGAAATGACCTACATATGATGATAAGACAAAAAGCTTTTTTATCAGCAAAAGGTGGTCGACGGTTAAACATTTACGCATTTGAAGGGAGAATAGACATTGTACTACCGTGTTATATAAATGAAGTTTAGTTGTTACAGCTAATTGAAGTGCACCAGTAGACCTATTGTAATTGGAATATACAACTATAAATTTATAGTATGTGTGGGTGTGGGTGTGGATGAAGGCATGTGTGTGTATACATATATATACATATATGTTTATACGTGTATATATATATGCATATATATGTATATATGTGTATATGTATGCATATATATGTGTGTATATATATAGAGAGATATAGATGTATATGTATCTATACACATGTATATATATGTATGTGTGTTTGTGTGTGCAGTGGGTTTATATATGTGCGTATATATATACACACCCATACACCTATATATATATATATATATATATATATATATATATATATATATATATATATATATATATATATATAGATGTGTATGTATATATATATATATATATATATATATATATATATGTGTGTGTGTGTGTGTGTGTGTGTGTGTGTGTGTGCATGTGTGTGGATACACATACACACATGTGTGTTTTGGTGTGTGTGTATATATATATATATATATATATATATATACTATATATATATATATATATAAGTATAAATGTGCAAGTCTACATTCTGCATCTGTTTGGTGAAATGACGCATATCGCTGTCTTCCATATACACGTACACATATAAACATGTAAACCGATATACAGGATAAATATAAAATCACGAAGAAAACAGCTACACCCTTTCTGGTCAGTCAACGGGGGCCACGAAATACACACTTTTACAAGAAGGAAATTTTAAAAAAGAAGCCATAAAATGA